GAACTAAGGGACAGCATATTCTCGCGAACCTTGAACTCCAGTTTCATTGAGGAGGCCTTCCGTACGGCACACGCGGCCGACCCTAACGCCAAGCTATACATCAATGACTACGATGTCGAAGGCGTTAACAAAAAGTCGGACGCCTTATACGCATTGGTCAAGGAGTTGAAGGGTAAGGGAGTGCCCGTTCATGGGGTCGGTTTGCAGGGTCACTTCAAGGAGAATGAAATTCCCTCAACTTATCAAGATAATATTAAACGCTTCGCTGATTTGAGACTCGATGTAGCCATTACTGAGCTTAATATCCGGTATAAGTTACCAGGCTCAGCTGATAAGATTGCCAAACAGGCCCAGGATTATAGTCATGCCTTTAGCGCGTGTATGAACGTGGACAGGTGTGTCGGGGTAACCGTTTGGGGCTTTACCGATAAATATTCTTATTGCAGTGATAAGGGTTATGGGGAACAGCAGTTATGGACTCAGGATTATAAACCCAAACCTGCCGTAGACGCTGTCGATAAAGTTTTGAAATAAATGAACCTTTTTCATTTGCAATTAATTAATTAATTTATATTAAATATGAACTCGTTTGATTTGTTTTAAATAATTCAAAATTATTATAAAAGTTATTTCATTAAAAAAAGTTAAGTAATTTTGTGTGTTATTGAAAGTAATGTCACTTTTGTGAGTTTAATCAATAAAAAGCACTCATATAAAATTTAAATATAAAAAACTTACTAATGAACTTAAAGGACTTTATAAAGTTACTTCAATCAATAGTTAACTGGGAAATATAGCAATTAGTAGATGGTATATAACCTTATAATGGAATGACACACTTTTGCAAATGCCAGATTGGGATTGCTAGGTGAATTGGCATGAATGAAAAACTTTTTGACAAAAATATAAAAATCTGATTGCTCCTGGCCACCGAAAAACCCGAAAAACCATTTGGCTATTTAATTTTTAATGGATATTAATTTTAAACACTAAATATTAAACCAATTTCAGTGGCCCATTGGTAATGTGTCGCACACGTAACATTTTGTACCAGGGTCCTATTCCACTTTCAGTTCAATTATGTTTTTGCTTTATTTTTTGCAAAATTTGGATAAATTTAATGTTATTTTTATTTAACTTAATGTAGTATATAATTATTATTAGAAAATATAAAATTAAAGTACCAAAATATAATAACCAAGGTAATTCCTATTATTGGTTTGTTGGATTTGCAATATATTTACAGTCTGTATAAAAACTTCATATAATTATCGTACTGTATTTATAATAAGAGTGATATAATTAAACAAATTATTCATTTATAACTCAATTTTATTAAAACACGTGTAAATATTTTTAATTGTATTATCGAAATATTGAATATATTCATAAAAATTTTATACAAATACCCGGTACAAAAATTTTATACCCGGAATAATCAATTGACTGTTTTATAGGACTTATTTGTTCACAGCTACTATAATAATACTGAAATTTTATGAATGTTTTGTTAACGAGATTATTGTTAATTAATCAAATTAATGTTGTGTTAAGTAATGTCTAAATAACAAATAATTATTTTGTTTTAAAGTTAAAATGAAAATGTTTTTCAAAAAAATTTGAATAAATATTAATCACTAAAAATGAATCAAAACTAGACTTTGCATTCATTTTATTCAAGCATTCATTCAATTATTTTTGATGCAATCCGTAAGCTTTCGGGCCATTTATTATCAACTATTTCTGG